ATTCTGTTGCCCTGGCTGCAATGCAGTGGTACACTCATAGCCACCACAGTCAACCCGCTGGGCTCAGGTGATCCTTCCGCCTCAGTCTTCCAAGTAGCTGGAATTATAGGCACGCGCCACCACACCCGGCTAATTTTCTGATTTACTGTGGAGAAGAGTTCTCACCAAGTGGCCCAGGCTGGTCTCAGACCTGTGGACTCAGGCAATCCTCTCACCTCAGCATCCCAAAGTGCTGGGAATCTGGAGGGGAGCCACTGCGCCCGGCCGGCAACTAACATTTTTAACAGCAGTATCTTGTGTCTTCCGGGTATCTTCTGAGTGACCCCCTGGTAGCTACAGCAGTTTGTGGGGTTCCTGGGTGTTGCCACAGGCAGGGAGCTGAGATCATTTCCAGGGGCCTTATGCAATCTCCCATTTCTTTCGCTGAGTCCATTTCCCTCTGCCACACCGGCTGGAAGGATCCCAGCTTACTGCCGCCTTGCCCTCCTGAGCTCAGACCTCCTCCTGTCTCAGCCTCCCCAGTCGCCGGGGCTGTAGTTGGTGCCACTCTGCCCAGCCAACTTCTCGATCTGTTTTTGTAGAGATAAGGTCTCACTATGTTGCCCAGGATGGTATTGAATTCCTGGGTTCAGGCAATCCTCCTGCCTTGGCCCCTGAAGTGTTGGGATCACAGGCATAAGCAACTGTGCACAGCCAATTATTATTATTTTAAATGGAAGAACTATCAGCATTACAGGATATCTCCAAGTATAGTACAATTTCCTTTTTTCTAGTCCAATTTCAGAATAAGTTCCTGAACAGATATTCCTTTCCTCCAAATATCTTGTTTTACAAAATGTTCCTCAATTAGGTTTTGACTTTCCTCATCTGAGATTCAGACTATGCATCTGTGTACCAAAAAAATGATGCCATGTTCTCCTCGCTGTATCCTAGTCCAGAAAATGATGTTGATTTGTTTCATTTCTAATGATGTTCACTTTAATACCTTAAGTAAAGCCAGTATTCTTCGCTGAAAGTTAGTTTTTTCCCTTTGTAATTAATAAGTATTTTGTAGGGGAATTAAATTGAAGTGATGTAAATATCCCATTCCTCAATCTTGCCTTTTATTCACTTCTTTTTTTTTGTGTTGGAGTCTCACTATGTCACCCAGGCTGGAGAGCAGTGGCACACTCATGGCCACCCCCAGCATCAACCTGCTGGCCTCAGATTATCTTTCCACCTAAACCTTCCAAGTAGCTGGAACCACAGGCATGCACTACCACGCCTGGTTAATTTTTTTACTTACTGTAGAGATGAGGTATCACCAAGTTGCCCAGGTTAGTCTCAAACCCACGGGCTCAGGCAATCCACTCGCCTTGGCCTTCCAAAGTGCTGGGATTACTGGCTGAGCCACTGAGCCCAGCTTATTCACTTTTTACTTATATCAACTGTTTAACAAGTTATATGTTATTATAATTTATTTTGAGGCTCGGCACAATGGCTCAAGTCTGTAATCCCAGCACTTTGGGAGGCTGAGACAGAAGGATCTTTTGAGGCCAAGAGTTCAAGATCATACATAGGGCAACATAGCAAGACTTCTTCACTATAAAAATTGGTAAAGATTAGCTGTACATGGTGTCACACAGCTATAGTCCCAGCTACTGTGGAGGTTGAGTCAGGAAAATCTCTTGAGCCCTGGAGTTCAAGATTATAGTGAACTATGAGCAAGACCCTGTCTCTTAAAAAAAATTATTTTGGCCTGGCTCAGTGGCTCAGCCTGTAATCCCAGCACTTTGGGAGGCTGAGGTGAGTGGATTGCCTGAGCCCGCGGGTTCGAGATCTGCTTGGGCAACTTGACGAGACCTCATCTCTACAACAAATCAAAAATCAGCTGGGCATGGTAGCGCGCACCTGTAGTTGCAGCTACTCGGAAGGCTGAGGCGGAAGGATTGCCAGAGCCCAGCAGGTCGAGGCTGCAGTGGCTGGGAGCAGCCACTGCACTCCAGTCTGGGTGACAGAGTGAAACTCCAACTCAAAAAAAATAAAAAATTATTTTGAATTTCTAACTGTCCCATTTGGCCAGTAAGACTCCTGCTGAGGCCGGGCTTCATGGCTCAAGCCTGTAATCCCAGCACTTTGGGAGGCTGACGCAAGTGGATTGCCTGAACCCATGGGTTCGAGACGAGCTCGGGCAACTTGGTGAGATCTCATCTCTACAATAAATCAAAAATTAGCATGCACCTGTAAGCTCCAGCTACTTGAAGGCTGAGGTAGAAGAATCACCAGAGCCCAGCAGGTCAACGCTGGGGTGCCGTGAGCATGCCACAGCACTCCAGCCTGAGAGACAAAGTGAGACACCAACTAAAACAAAACAAAACAAAAAAGAGAGCCCTGCTGAGCTGACTTCTGTGTACATTCAACAGATCCTCATCACTCTTTTTTTTTTTTGAGTCGGAGTCTCACTCTGCTGCCTAGGTTGGAGTGCAGTGGCATGCTCTCAGCCACCACAGTCTTGACCTGCTAGGCTCAGGTTATCCTTCTACCTCAGCCTTCCAAGGAGATGGAACTACAGGCGTGCACCACCACATTCGGCTAATTTTTTGACTTATTGTAGAGACGTTGTTCAGGCTGGTCTCGAATCCTTGAACTCAGGCAGTCCTCTCGCCTCAGCCTCCCAAAGTGCTGAGATTATAGGCGTGAGCCACTGCACCCGGCCCCTCATCATTCTTTAAGACCTCCTTTACTTCCTGGCACAGTAAGTTTTCCAGTCTGGTCTTGTGATTCCCCTGCCTCGGCCCCAGAATCAGTCATTTCCCCCAAGAAGGGCTGGTACCTTGCAGTAGAAGAAGAATCTAGAAGCCAAGTCTGGGGAACTAGGCGCCTACTAATCAGTGACCCAAACCCTTTCAGGGAGCTAAGAAGCACCATGTTTTTACATATGCACACACACACATACATACACACACACACACACACACACACACACACACACACTAACACCTCTATATCTACTAACGCCTCTGTATCACCGCCATGAGCTCACAAAGATTTCTAAATCCCAATCACAGAGCACATTTTAGTTTTCTCCTTTTCCATATGTGACAACAAAGACCCTGGCACTCATTCCTTCCACTTATGACCTGTCCAATACCCCATATGGAAGCCACTTCTCACGGCCGCCACCACCTCCAGGCTGCATCCCTGCAGCTGCCAACCTCCAGCCAACATGGGCATCCCTCCTCACCCTGCTCCAACACTCTTGATTGGGCTCATGCCACTCTTGGCCACTGCCCCCACGCCCAGCAGCCTGCTGTGTGGCAGCCTGCCCCGCTTTCAGATTTCCTGAAAGTCAGCAACAGTCTTCCTGACCTTCACTGCCCAGTCTTTCAGTGGTTCCTATATTCCACTTCTATTCACAATACTTAGAATGGCTTCTATTAAACAAACCCTGACAGGTACAGTTATTAGCCATTATTTAGGCACCGATGGAATGAACTGTTTTTAATATCCAACCGAAACTTCCTTCTGTAGATTCAAGAAGCAAAAGAAGCACAAGCATGGCCGGGCTCAGTGGCTCACGCCTATAATCCCAGCACTCTGGGAGGCCGAGAAGAGAGGATTGCCTGAGCCCACGGGTTCAAGACCAGCCTAGGCAACTTGGCAAGACCTCATTTCTACAATGAATCAAAAAATTAGCCAGGCATGGTGGTATATGCCTGTCGTTCCAGCCACTTGAAGGTTGAGGCTGAAGGATCACCTGACCCCAGCAGGTCGAAGCTGCAGTGGCCATGACCATGCCACTCTACTCCAGCCTGGGCGACAGGGTGAGAACTCCAGCTCAAAAAAAAAAAAAAAAAATTAAAAATCAGAGGGCCGAGCCGGGCTCAGCCTATAACCCCGTGCTTTGGGAGGTGAGTGGATTGCCTGAGCCCGCGGGTTCGAGACCCACCTGGGTAACTTGGCGAGACCTCATCTCTACAATAAATCAAAAATTAGCTGGGTGTGGTAGCGCGCGCCTGTATTTCCAGCTGCTTGGAAGGCTGAGGCGGAAGGATGGCAGGAGCCCAGCAGGTCGAGGCTGTGGTAGCCGGGAGTGGCCACTGCACTCCAGTCTGGGTGACGGAGTGAGACTCCAACTCAAAAACAAACAAACAAACAAAAAAACAGAGGACCAAGTAAAATAAATAAAATAAACCCAAACCTATATCTTTTTATGTAAAAATCTATTTCCTGTAGGTGAGGGCACAAAACCCCCTGAATCAGTGAGACGCAGGCGTGTGTGCACTGGGAAGGCGTAACACAGGGTGTCTGGGACTCTCATTTCCGTCTGCTTGGTGTCTCCTCCCCTGCTTTTACCAGAAGAAAGACAACTTCCTCTTACAGGACTGCCCCTCCCACTACTGGTCTCAGGATTGTCAACGGACACATCTCTCAAGCGGCCCCAATGTCAGACTGTCTTACACAGCTGGAGCTGACAGCAGCACCGTGAGGGACAGCCTGCTGCCGAGGTCACTGGGACGGTGCTCACCCTCGTCCATAAAACTTTCCTGTTCAAACTTCTGGTTCTGTGACCAGACTTGCTGTCTCTTACACTCGAGGAGTACCTCATAATATACTCACTTCAGAGAAATGGGTATATTCATAAGCACAGAGAGCCCCCAACAGACAAAGCAATATTCTCCTTCACAAAAGAACGCACACAGAGCAGCAGTCTGACAACACTGCAGAAAACACTAACTTAAGGAAACATGTACTTTTCCATTTCAGTAAGACTTCTAGTGCCAATCCATAAAACAATTTACTGCCAATGCATAAAAACAAAAACCACAAAGGGAGAACTTAACTCACTAGAACTGTCGTGAACTGCCGAGGTCATTCGCTGTTAGGCACCCAGAACATCTAACACCTTGCACAGCTCTTTCATCAACTCATTCCACTGACATCATATCGTTCTGCTAACTGTCTGGTCTTCCTTGCTATCCTAGGTTATTTACAACTTGAAAAGCATCATTTTTTTTTACCCGGATGAAAATTTCCAGTTCTGTTTTTCTTCTTTTTTCGATTTTCTCCGCCTCCATCTGGCACGTGTGACAGATGTACAGATGGTTGACAGCTGGCCCACCTCCATACCTACGTATGAAGAATTGATGAACTGGAATTATGGCAGCCCTAAAGAAAGCTGATGTTCTAGGAAACATGTTTCTAACGTTTCAGCCAAAGGCCCAAACCCCAGTGAGAAATAAACCTTAAATAAAATTCTCAAAGCAATATAAAAATGTAAAAATCGTAACAGAATTTGATTTTATGCTTCTTAGGGTCAAGGATTTTAAGAGTTTATTGTGTAACTTGCTTTATCTATATTTCACAACTTTCCCTAATAGCTACTTCTGCTCCAAATGTTTGTGGCAACAACAAAGTAAAAGAAGCGGTTTTCAAAAATTAACATATAACATATAAATCTTGATTAGACATGCACAGCCATAGTCACGTTTTAATAAAATAAAGCATTCCCTGGCCTCTCAAGTAAGACACATTTAAAGCATGAATTATTTTAAATATTTGAATGATGAAAAAGTAATGGGAAAATTGTGGTGCAAAATTTTTATTTTTTTAGTTTTTTGAATCAGAGTCTCACTCTGACACCCAGACAGGAGTGCAGCGAACACTCACAGCCATGGCAGACTCAACCTGCTGGGCTCAGGCAGTCCTTCTGCCTCAGTCTTCCAGCAGCTGGAACTGCTGGAAGACTGGAGTCTTACTCTGTAACCCAGACTGGAGTACAGTGGCATGCTCACGGCCACCGCAGCCTCAACCTGCTGGGCTCAGGTGATCCTCCTGCTTCAGCCTTCCTAGCTGGAACTATAGGCACACACCACCACACCCAGCTCATTTTTTTCTTTATTGTAGAGATGATGTCTTGCCAAGTTACCCAGGCTGGTCTTGAACCCGTGGGCTCAGACAATCCTCTCGCCTCAGTCTCCCAAAGTGTGGGGATTACAGATGTGAGCCACCACGCCTGGCCTCAAAATGTTTTCAAATAAATGTAGAACTTTAAAATTTAAGAGTAAGAATATTCTATTGAGGTAGCATATACATAGGTAAAATTTCAGTGCTGGGGATATGCAAAATCTTTTTTTTTTTTGAGTTGGAGTCTCACTCTGTCACCCAGGCTGGAGTGCAGTGGCACGCTCTCAGCCACCACAGCCTAGACCTGCTGGGCTCAGGCGATCCTTCTGTCTCAGCCTTCTAAGTAGCTGAAACTACAGGCACACACTAACCACACTGAGCTAATTTTTTTTTTTTTTTCCTTAAGTTGGAGTCTCACTCTGTTGCCCAGACTGGAGTGCAGTGGCCGCTCCCGGCCACCACAGCCTCGACCTGCTGGGCTCCGGCGATCCTTCCGCCTCAGCCATCCGAGTAGCCGGAATTACAGGTGTGCGCTACCATGTCCGGCTGATTTTTTGATTTATTGTAGAGATGAGGTCTTACCAAGTTGCCCAGGCTGGTCTTGAACCCATGGGCTCAGGCAATCCTCTCATCTCGGCCTCCCAAAATGCTTGGATTATATTTGTGAGCCACAAAATCTTTTAAACAAGGTCCTTAAAGTTAACTATTACAGCACACCTTACAGATAATAGAACAAAAAAATTAGAACCAATTATCTGGACTATGGTCACGGAACTACAAAGTTTTTTCTACTCACATTTTAGAGTGAAAAAATCCAGGAAAACGAAGGGACATTCCACATAAGCAACACACAGCACAAAGAGTATCTGAAATAATCCGGTCTCCCTTAACCAACTAAACTGATGTTTACAGTACTATTTTGTCTGATTTACAAAAACAAACCTGCTGTATAGGTTATCCCAAATGTTCTGAGGCAACATCAAAACCAGGTCTTCAATGTAACCAGCTTTTCTTGGAGGAACACCTGAAAACAGTTTAGAGATATCTGTCTCATTCTCTAATTCATTCATATTACTTTCAAAGATTAAACTCATTTTTTAACAATGAACAATGGTGGGTTAATCATTATTCTTAAGGCCCCCCCCACAAAAGATAAAGCATTTTTTGGTCATTATGTTTCCTAAAGATGAGCCTCGAAATTCACACACGGAAATATTTCTTAATTTTTTTTTAGGCAGTTTTAACTCTGCTGCCCAGGCTGGACTGTAGGGGCACAATCACGGCTCACCACAGCCTCGAGCCTCTAAGTTCAAGCGATCTTCCTGCTTCAGCCTCCAAAGTACCTGGGACTACAAATGTGCACCACCATACCCAGCTAATTTTTGGATTTTTTTTGTAGAGATGGGGTCTCACTTTGTTGCCCATACTGGTCTCAAATTCCTGGCCTCAAGCGATCCTCCTGCCTCAGCCTCCCAAGGTACTGGGATAACAGGCATGAGCCGCTGCAACTGGCCAGAAATATTTTTTAAGGTTTGGGTTTCTATATCCAATATAGGATGTTTCTATCTCTTTGGTTTCACTACAAACATAAGTAACAAGAATATTAAGTCTTCAATTATGAAGTTTAATCAAAGTGTCACATGCAGGTCCTATTCATTATAGGAACAAACACTAACATAGCCAACAATAAAGGTGTAAGTTACAGTTAACTACCAAGTGAAAAAAAAAATTCAGATACATTTCTACATGCAGAAAAAGAGCCAGCTATTCATTTAGACAAAGGGGGTAAGAGCCACAGACATAGTTGGTAGCTAAAATCACTAGCACAGGAATGCCCTTCAGTTAAGAAAAATGAAGTATAATAGAGAAGTTCACTGTACTGTAATTAGTTGTTTATGTATCTGACTCAACTATGAAATTAGAGCTCTGCGAACAGAAACAGGGTCTTTGCTGTTCTTAGGCGCTAGCACAGGATTTAGAACTAGTACTTAACAAATACGTTTAATAAAAAGGCTACAGATTACCTATAATTAGAAAGAAAAGGCCAATTTCTGAAACCATATAAAATTAAACGTGTTAAGTTGGACTGCAGGTGGGGAAACGGAAGATAAATAGAGGAGGAAAAGTCTTGGCTCTTTCCTCACTTGCACACCACGGAACAGCAACCCCTTACCACTACCTTGCATTACAGAATTCCTTACCTCCATGAATGCAAAGAAAGTCATTATTTGAAATGGGGCCAGGCTCAGCAAAGGTCTTAAACTTATTTAGCCACTGTCGAGAAATATAGAACTGAAGGAGGCTGGGCTCCATGATATTCAAGAGATTCGATGTCCTTCGTCTCTCCTTCTGCGCCTCTTCACTGCTCTTCCTATGGGAACAGTGACCGATGACATTCGTGTACATCTCAGCACAGTAAACTAGCGAGCCAGTTTCCTCCTCTCCGGGCTTGCATTTGGCAGACATGCTGACACTAGGTTTACTAGGTCGTGAGACTATCAAGAGAGGGTGCACCACCCACCAAAACACAGGGTACACCCCTAAGGTGACACGGTATCTCACCTCCTGGCATCCCAACAAAGACAACTACTGGTGCACGGTGGGCACTCAGAGGCTCCCAAGATCAAGCAGAATCTGTTTTTCCATTTCAGTAGTTAGCATTTTCTCTTATAAAATACTGGAAAATGCCAAATATCCTTATAGTAATACCTCCTTTACTAGCTATTTTAGGAGAAAACTGGGTACATTTTTTTTTTTTTTTTTTGACTTGGAGTCTCACTGTGTCATCCAGGCTGGAGTGCAGTGGCACGCTGTTCACAGCCACCGCAGCCTCGACCTGCTGGGCTCAGGTGATCCTTCTGCCTCAGCCTTCCCAGTAGCTGGACTTGCAGGTGTGTGCCACCATGCCCAGCTAATTTTCTGATTTATAGAAGAGATGAGGTGTCACCAAGTTTCCCAGGTTGGCCTCGAACCCGTGGGCTCAGGCAGTCCTCTCACCTTGGCCTCCCAAAGTGCTAGGATTATAGGCGTGAGCCACTACGCCTGGCCTAAGTGCCTAATTTTAATTAAAACCAATCTTTCTAAAACAAAATATATCCCTCTGCCCTTCACATAACCAACAGAACACCTTCTGAATGAGGAATCATTCTGCACACATTATTTTACTCTAATGAAGTGGAAGGAAGACAATTTCTCTACTCAGCAGCCCCTTAGGATATCTTAGAAGTCACTGGTTTTTGTTTTTTGTTTTCCTTTTTGAGTTGGAGTCTCACTCTGTCACCCAGACTAGAGTGCAGTGGCCGCTCCCGGCCATAGCAGCCTCGACCTGCTAGGCCCCGGTGATCCTTCCGCCTCAGCCTTCCAAGCAGCTGGAACTACAGGCGCGCGTTACCATGCCCGGCTAGTTTTTTTATTTTTGTAGAGATGAAGTCTTGCCAAGTTGCCCAGGCGGGTCTCGAACCCGCGGGCTCAGGCAATCCACTCACCTCAGCCTCCCAAAGCGCAGGATTACAGACTGAGCCACCGAGCCCGGCTAGAAGTCATTAATAACCCCTGAGTGTGAGAGATTCTTTTATATTTATAAAAATAGCTTATCCATGAGGAAGTTACTTCCATTACCTATAGAAAAGAACATAAGCTTCTGCATTTTGTACAGTAGATTCTGAAACTTCAGTGACACTCTGATCATCAAATTCATACCAGAGTTTATTTAAATTGTTTCGGCAGTAGGCTATGTAGTGGCCACCTGGATTTGAAGGAAAAGACATCATTATAGTAATACAAAATTAACACAGGAAGAGCAGATTAACTTTCTCTATCTCCAGCACCTAGCACAGCAGCTGAGACGTGGCAAGAACTATGCTTATATTTTCTTCAGTATGTATCCTTGTTGCCCCCACTTTACATTTAAAGATAAAACATGTTTCTTTGTTTTACTTTTTGTGAGTCAGGTTGTCTCTTTGCCACTCAGGCTGGAAAGTGGTGGCACAATCACAGCTCACCGCAATTTCAACCTTCTGGGCTCAAGTGATCCAAGCTCCTCAGTCTTCTGAGTCACTGGGATTGCAGGGCATAAGCCACTGCACCTGGCTATTAGAATACACAATATTTAAAAACCCAGTATAAAATAATCACATTTAAGGCCTTACTACTTAACTTTATACAACATAAATTACACTATTATAAACATAGTAGAAATAGTCAATTTCCTAAAATTATCTGACATGTTTATAATAACCAGCATTAAAATCTGCTTTTAAATTGGTGTTTTTTGTTTTGTTTTTTTGAGTCAAAGTCTCACTGTCACCCAGACTGGAGTGTAGTGGCACACTCACAGCCACCACAGCCTCAACCTGTTGGACTTAGGCAATCCTTCCACCACAGCCTTCCAAGTAGCTGAAACCATAGGCATGTGCCACCAAGTCCAGCTAACTTTTTTTTTTTGTGGAGACAAGGTCTCGACAAGTTGCCCAGTCTGATCTCAAACCTCTGGGCTCAAGCAATCCTCTCGCTTCCACCGCCCAAAGTGCTGGGATGACAGGCGTGAGCAACCGTGCCCGTCAGTGGTTTTTTTTGTTTTACTTTTTGTGTTTTTTAGGGGAGGGGGGTGGTCAATCAGGTCTTGTTTAAGGGATCAATTCAGATTTTTACTTTAATTTGTTTAAATCTAGGAACAAATGCCAAACCTGCATACTTACTACTGGCAGTTCCATGATGACAAATGACTGACAAAAGGTCATACGTCACAATTTGAGCTGGACTGTCCTTCGCAAGAAATGGCTGCAGATCCAAGCCTTCTAGCGGGAATGAGACGTGGGTAGAGATTTTGCTTGAAAACATCAGCTCATGTCTGAATCTTTTAAGGTGGATGCATAAAATCTAAAAAAGAATGAAATTCAAGACTCTAACTTGTTAATAAAGACAAAAAAAGCAGTCTAAGTAGAAAAACTTTGTATACAAAGACCTTTATACTACAAGTAAGAAACCAAAGTGTTCAATCTAAATAAAATTATAAGTTACTTAAAATTTCATTTACTTTTATATGCTACATAAACGGGTCTATTAAATACACATATTGAATGAAGTATCAAGATTAAATATTAATCTACAATTAGAAACTGATTCCACAGATGTTAAAACTCTGGAAATGGTGAAACATGGTACTTCCTAAATTTACTACTTGATTTTCTAATTTTTTTTTTAAGTCAGAATCTCACTCTGTTTCCCAGGCTGGAGTGCAGTGGCACAGATCATGGCCACTGCAGCCTCGACCTGTTGGACTCAGGTGATCCTTCTGCCTCAGTCTTCCAAGTAGCTGGAACCACAGGTGCGCACCACCATGCCCAACTAAATTTTTCTTTTATTTATTATAGAAACAAGGTCTCTCCAAGTTGCCCAGGCTGGTTTCAAACACCTGTGCTCAGGCAATCCTCTTGCCTCAGCCTCCCAAAGTGCTGAGATGACAGGTGTGAGCCATTATGCCCAGCTGTTTAATTTTATACCTCACACCCGCAAGATCCTCTGGAGTCTGACTGAACCATATTCAACACAGTGCATTGTTAGGAGCACCTACAGTATTAAACCAGCATTTTAAAAACGAATAATCCTAATAAGGTATGCATAGCAACTGCCCGACTTGTCAAGCCGGCCAAGAGAACCCATGACATCACATTAACCTTTCATGTTCCTAGTACATAACATAAACTGAGATAAAATAGGGCCCATACCTCAGGAAACTTCTGTACTTTACAGAACTTTACTCCATTCCTCAACCTAAGGGGGGAAGAGAAAAGTCAATGAACCCACCAAAAATGTAGTATATTCAAAGATACAGCAAAAATCTTTCAGAAAATGCACAAAGGTATCACTAGAAATATCATGTCAAATATCCACATTAACTATCTTAATCCTCAAAACAATAGAGTCCCTGATGGTCAAAAAATAATTTAAACCAAGTTCTCAGTAATCAAAATTTAGGGAGTTGTACAGTTCTTTGATTAACATTATTTTATGTTTTAATAAATGTGCAATTGTACATCAGGCTCAGTGGCCCAGTCTAATCCCAGCACTTTGAGAGGCCAAGGTGAGTGGATTGCCTGAGCCCGCGGTTTTTGAGACCAGCCCGGGCAATTTGGCAAGACCTTGTCTCTACAATAAATAAAAAATTAGCCGGGCATGGTAGCGCACGCCTGTTGTTCCAGCTACCTGGAAAGCTGAGGCGGATGGATTGCGAGAGCCCAGCAGGTCAATGCCGGGGTGGCTGTGAGTTGCCACTGGACTCCAGCATAGATGACGGACTGAGATTCCAACTCAACAAGTAAATAAATAAATGTACAATTGTCTATGGTCTGGCTATGCCTTTATTTATTTATTTAGTTGGAGGCTCACTCCGTCGCCCAGACTGGAGTGCAGTGCCTCAACCTGCTGGGCTCTGGCGATCCTTCCGCCTCAGCCTTCCGAGTAGCTGGAACTACAGGCGCGCGCTACCACGCCCGGCTGATTTTTGATTTATTGTAGAGGTGAGGTCTCGCCAAGTTGGCCAGGTGGGTCTCAAACCCGCAGGCTCAGGCAATCCACTCACCTCAGCCTCCCAAAGCACCAGGATTACAGGCTGAGCCACCGAGCCCGGCTTGGCTATGCCTTTAAAACATCCAGGCAGCAGACACCAGACCCTCTTACTGTTGACCTGCCCACTGTGCCCTTCACAATGTATCTTTCCTTTAATAAATTTACTTTTTTTTTTTTTTTTGAGATGGTATCTCACTCTGTGGCCCAGACTGGAGTGCAGTGGCCGCTTCCGGCCACCGCAGCCTGACCTGCTGGGCTCCAAGCGATCCTTCCGCCTCAGCCTTCCAAGTAGCCGGAACTACAGGCGCGCGCTACCACACCCGGCTAATTTTTTGATTTATTGTAGAGATGAGGTCTCGCTGCCAGGCGGGTCTCGAACCCGCGGGCTCAGGCGATCCACTCACCTCAGCCTCCCAAAGGTGCAGGATTATAGGCTGAGCCACCAAGCCCAGCTAAATTTACCTTTCTTAATCCATAAAAAAAATGTTAAATCCATATATTAAGTGAAACAAGATAAAGCAAAATCCAGTTTTATAAAATCTGAATTCAAATCAATATGTCAGAACCTTTTTTCTTCCAAGTAAAAAAAAAACTTGAGATAAAGGTGGTTATTATTAATCAACAATATAAATATACAATGGTCAGACCTCTACTTTAGATTTGGAGGTAGACACAAGGCTCTTTTCCATCTTTACTATTATCTTTTTCCTGCTTGGCTTTACAAGGAAGGATGCCTTTCCAAGCCAAATCCCTGTTCAGCTGTCAGTGCTACAAGGACAAAGTATAAACTCTTTCCGAAAGCACAAGGCAGCTTATTTGTCTTTACCACCCAAACAGTATACCATTCCTTTTCTATCATGTCGTGATCAACTACAGATCAGTGTTTCCCTGGTGTTACTGCCAAGACCAGACATCTATATTATCCTAGATCTTACTAGAAGGCCATTATTTTTCTATTACGGAAATTCAGTAAAATTTCCCAGTTCCCTCTACCTCAAAAACGGTTGCCTTCATTAAGTCTCCAATCACTTTTTCCTAATTTACCACCAAGAAGCATTAGTCTGAATGTATTACAAGACAGAAAAAGGCAGTCAGTGGTAGATATAAAGAAAATCAGACTTCAGTCGTCTTCTATTCTGCCATCAAAACAGCATATAGGATCAAAGGTGATGTAACCTTTCTGAGTTTTATGTACCTTTCACTTCCTGGATCAAGCCTATTAAAATTGTAATCCAGAAGAGAATACCGCCTTATTTTGGAAAATATTTTATGCACAATCACATATTTATTTCCGCCTTCAAAATATACTCTCTCACATCTTAGGTAAGTCTAATAAACTTAAGTTTCACCTTAAATTTATCTTACAGAACAATCAATCTCTTCATAATTACTAGGACAAAGTATTCTGGCCTATATTCTTCTAAATATAGTAGCAAATTTAACCTCACCTGACCAATTCAAAAAAGCCAAGAAAAATACACAACATGCAATTAAAAGCATTATCAATGTCACTTACTTTTTACATTTTTCACAACTGTACATATTGTCACCTGCAAATAAAACAGGTCTGGTCATTTCTTTCAAACAAACAGTGAATGACTTTCTTTTTGATTGCAAGTCTTTGATTTCCATATGCTGACCCTAGGCACGGTGAAACCAGGTGTGTTTTTCAGTCTCTGCTCCTGTGTCAGATCGCTGCTTACCTCTCTTCCCCCTGACTCCTTTCACTCTCCATGGACAACCTCAGTAACAGGCTTTCCACTTATGCAATCAACAAAACTTACTGACTGCCTGTCATAAGAGGAGGGACCGTACAGAAAAAACAAAATCATCTTCTTTTGGAGGGCAGGCCCCTTGGAGCACACACTTAGAATTTGTTCCTCCAGATCAAATGGTAAATCAAAGTTTTCATCTGGAAATTTGAGAGGTCACATCAAGATTTGCAGAAGAAATGTCCTGAGTTGTGGCAAACAGGTGACTGGTTCTTCCACGATGACAACATACCTGCCCACTCAAAAACTGCTGAGCACCGGGCTTGGTGGCTCAGCCTGTAATCCCAGCACTCTGGGAGGCTGAGGTGAGTGGACTGCCTGAACCCACGGATTCGAGACCTGCCCGGCAACTTGGCGAGACCTGTCTCTACAATAAATCAAAAACTAGTCGGGTGTGGTAGCGTGCATCTGTAGTTCCAGCTACTTGGAAGGCTGAGGCGGAAGGATCGCCAGAGCCCAGCAGGTCGAGGCTGCTGTGGCTGGGAGCATGCCATGCACTCCAGTCTGGATGACAGAGTAAGACTCCAACACACACACACAAAAAAAAAATCTGAGTGTTCAGCAGTTTTCGACCAAAAACGGCACCACCCCGTGCCCCACCCTCCATATTCACCCAATTTTGTCCCAAGCAATTTTTTGTTTCCCCAAATGAAAAAAGTCTTCAAAGGAAAATGTTCTGCTGCTGTGGAAAAGGCGAAACAAAAACCAGCAGAAGCTCTAGAAGGCATCAAAATTGAGGAGTTCAAAAATTATTTTTAGTGGAAAAAGTGTCTTGATAGGCATACTGCATCAAACAGAGAGAACTTTGAAGGTGGACTGACATTTAAACATGTAGGAATCCATACACAAATTTTAAAACCCATGTGGGGGTTGTGTGGGTCCCCCTCTGTGTCCAAGCAAGGTGCTGAGCACACAAAAGCAGTGAAGGGCCTTACATGAATGGAGTAGCTCGCAGACAATTCCAGAGACAGAAAGAAGTCCATTATTTTGACTGAGTTTGCCTTTTTGTGAGTCTCAGAACAGCTTGAAGACATTTCACCCACTATTTGTCTCATACTACAGAACATGTACAAGTTCCTTCGGGACACGGTTTTTCTGATATTTACATTATCAAGATAGAGACTGGCACTAGACCAGTATGGGCAAGTACTGTTCCAGCTGTCACAAAATCGCTGTCAGGAGTCTATTTTCTAATTTCATCCCACAAATATTCCAGATTCACTACAAAAATTTAGTCATAGATATTATTATATTTCTTACCTTTTAGTTCATCTCTGGCAAAGAAGGCAGCAAGACAATCTTGCAAGGTTACTACTGGACCCCAAAACCAGCTAGGGACACAGGAGACAACAAACCTGAAACATCATCGACAAAAAGAAACAAGGAAGTGTTCTGCCAGTACAGCAGAAACAGCAGTTTCAACAATCGCGTCCTGCAAGCAAGACGAACACCTACCTCTTCACGTACTCCATGAAAAAGGCAATCCAGCCCTGGGGGGCATAAGCTTCGCCGCAGGACCCGGCCTTGACGATGGAAGTCGGGTGGCTCGTCGAATGCAGCTTGGCAAGGTCCTCCTTGCCAGGAATTGGCAAGGACAGATCCTGAAAGGTCTCGAGCGTCACAGAAACCTAAAATTGTCGTGTGTTTTAAAAATGGGACGAGAAGAATCCAGCACAAACATTTACAGGGTTAGAATCAGACTCCAAAGAGCAAAGCAAGTTAGAATGAGCAAAAACAAACAAAAAAGTGAACTGCTTTTCTAGTGACAACAGCAGAAACAACACCCGCTCCGCACCAGGTGCTAGTCCCAGCTAATCTCCACACAACTCTGTGCAAGCAGTAGCCCCTCAAATCCCGCTACTCTAGGCTGAGGGCAAACACAAGCACCATCATATGTATTTTTGAAAAGAACTTTGAAGATAGTTTTTAAAAGTTTTTTAAAAGAGAGAATACAGCCGGGCTCAGTGGCTCACATCTATAATCCCAGGACCTTGGGAGGCCGAGGCAAGAGGCTTGCCTGAGCCCAGGGGTTCGAGACTAGCCTGAGCAAGTTGGTGAGACCTTATCTCTGCAATAAATCAAAAAATGAGCCAGGTGTGGTGGTGCGCACCTGTAGTTCCAGCTACTTGGAATGCTGAGGCGGAAGGATCACCTGAGCCCAGCAGGTCGAGGCTGTGGTGGCCATGAGCATGCCACTATACTCTAGCTTGAGCGACAGAGTGGGACTCCAACTCAAAAAAATAAAAAATTGCTGAAAATATTCCACCTTTTACTTAAAAAATAAAATATAAATAAAAGGGAGAATGTAAAACCTGACATCAAATTTTCAACTGCTGAAAACAGTCAGGAGTGGTGGCTCAAGCCTGTAATCCCAGCACTTTGGGAGGCTGAGATGAGGGGATTGCCTGAGCCCGCAGGTTCAAGAACAGCCTGAGCAACCTGGCAAGACCTCATCTCTACAATAAATCAAAACGTTAGCTGGGCGTGGTAGCACGCACCTGTAGTTCCAGCTACTTCGAAGGCTGAGGGGGAAGGATCGCCTGAGCCCAGGAAGTCAACACTGGGGTGGCCATGAGCAGCCTGGGCGACAGAGTGAGACTCCAACTCAAAAAAATAAATAATAAATAATAAATTGCTGAAAACATTTCTGATAATTCTATTAAATATTTAGCACCAGGCGAAGTAGGGACCAAAGGGAGACCCAAGCTTTACCTGTACAATGACCACATGTATACCTAATTCTGAATTATACCCCATGTCTTTAAAATAAAAAAATTAAAAATAAATAAATGAATAAACATTTAGTACCAAATAAACCACTTTAAAACGATCTGCTTGGGCATGGTGGCTCACGCCTATAACCCCAGCATTTTCGGAAGCGGAGACAAGAGGACTACCTGAGCCCAGAAGTTCAAGACTAGCCTGGGCAACTTGGCGAGACCTCATCTTACAATAAATAACAAAAAAAAAAATTAGCCAGGCATGGTGGCATGTACATGTAGTTCCAGCTACTTGGAAGGCTAAGATGGAAGTATCACCTGAGCACAAAAGGTCAAGTATGTGGTAGCCATGAGCATGCATGCCACTGCACTCCAGCATGGGCAACTGAGACTCCAACCAAAAAAACAAAAACAAAAAGATGACCCTACTGAAAGTCCTTAGATTTGACTTGAGATTCTAACACAATAATTGAAAACTTAGTTCTGATTTTAAGACACCATTTCATTTTCATTAATTATATTCATGATTGCACTGAAGTAAAACTATTCTTAAAGAAATTTTGAGGGATGTGGTTGTTATTAAAGAACTTATGATGATTTTACTGCATGCCCTTGTTATCATGTACGAATGTGACACTACATTTTTCATCTGAGCTCCCACCTAAGAATATTTACAAGCCACAGTATAACCACATGCAAACGATACATTCACCGCCTGAGCCATGAACAACAGTTTACCAGCATACTAACTCTACCAGCTTTGGGAAAAATAAACATGTTACCAATTCTTGTTGCTGGTCACTTTCACATATAACCGAAACAGAGGAAGAACTTAGTAATTTTCCCACTAACTCAAGACTATCCTTTAAAAGGGATGATGCTGTTACTTACAAAGAAGTAAATTCTACTTCTAGAATTAATGTATCCTGATGCAAACACAAAAAATGCATAAATAACAAAAGAAACCATCAGACAAAAAACACACATGTATGATTATCAACAACAAAGAGAAGCAATTAAACTAGTCACACCATTTTATTAAAAAAGAGGACTTGACAGAAATGTCCTGTGGATTCCAGTTCCCTCCTACTCACCCTGTCACAAGTCAGACACTGCACTGAACTGATGATTGTTCCATCGAATATGTCTGAAATAACACTTCTGTATTTCTTGTGCTGTTTTTTTCTTTTTGGAGATGTAGATGGAACTAGGAATGAAAAACAAGTGTATCAAGTCAGGTGAGAGAAGAAAGTGCAGAACGTTAAAAAAAAAACAGTAGTTCCTTTAACATTTTTCGCTAGCATCTTTAACTATAAAAATTACTGTGCTAAGGGACTTTTCCGAAATACCCTTCAAAAGAAAATTACTTAAATAAAAAAAAGAAAAAAGAGCCAGGCGCAGTAGCTCACGCCTGCAATTCCAGCACTTTGGGAGGTGGAGGTGACAGGATTGCCTGAGCCCAGGCGTTTGAGACCAGGCTGGGTAACGTGGGGAGACCTCGTTTCTACAACAAATCAAAAAATCATCTGGGAGTGGTGGCACCCACCTGTAGTTCCAGCTACTTGGAAGGCTGAGGCAGCAGGATTGCCAGAGCCCAGCAGGTTGAGGCTGCAGTGGCCATGAGTGTGCCACTGCACTCCCACCTGGGCAAAAGAATGAGACTCCAACTCAAAAAAGAAAAAAAGGATATATGATCCTTGGCCTTCATAAATGTACAGACAGCAGGCTGAGCACAGTGCCTCACGCCTGTAATCCTAACACTTTGGGAGGCCGAGGTGAGAAGATTGCCTGAGCCCACGGGTTCAAGACCAGCCTGGGCAACTTGGAGACACTGCATCTCTACAATAAATTTTTAAAAATTAGCTGGTTGAGCCGGGCTCGGTGGCTCAGCCTGTAATCTCGCGCCTTTGGGAGGCTGAGGTGAGTGGATTGCCTGAGCCCGTGGGTTCGAGACCCGCCTGGGCAGCGAGACCTCATCTCTACAGTAAATCAAAAAATCAGCCAGGCATGGTAGCGCATGCTTGTAATTCCGGCTACTTGGAAGGCTGAGGTGGAAGGATCGCCAGAGCCCAGCAGGTCGAGGCTGCGGTGGCCGGGAGCGGCTACTGCACTCCAGTCTGGGCGACCGAGTGAGACTCCAACTCAAAAAAAAAAAAAAAAATTAGCTGGCTGTCTGCAGTCCCAGCTATTTGGGTGGTTGAGGTAGAAAATGAAACAAACTCGAGTTAGCACAACACTCAGGGCACTTTTTCCATTTGCAAAATGAATTTAGTTATGTCACTGGGATGTTTACTTACATGTTCTAGAAGTCAAAGGAAGAAGGAAAGAGTCAAGAAAAAGGGTTCAGTCTCCCCGTCTTGATGTCAGAGTAATTTTGCTTTTACTTGTTTATTTGATTCCAATTAAGGCTTTATTTGAAGAAGAGATTCTGTTACTAAGTTTTGAAAGGTCTTTATATATTTCTGGATTTAAGACCTTTGTTAGCTATATAATTTGTAACTATTTCCTCCTGATCTTATCTTTTCATTCTTTTAACAATGTCCTGGGCCATCTCAACATTTTTGGAGGCTGAGACGGGAGGCTCACTTGAGCCCAGGAGTTCGAGATCAGCCTGGGCAGCATAGAAAGACCTGGTCTCTACAAAAAAACAAAAGAGGAAAATTAGCTAGGCATGGTCCTAGCATGCCTGTAGTCCCAGCTACTTGGGAAGCTTAGCAAAAGGATTGCTTGAGCCCAGGAGTTTGAAGCTGTGGTGAGCCTGGGCGACAGAAAATTTAAAAAATATAAGAGTAACAAAAGAACAAAAGAATAGAAACAATGTCCTTTCCCAAGAAAAAACTTTAACTTTTTTCTTTTACGGATCAGGCTTTCATGTACCTGTACATGAATGTTTAGAGCAGCCTTCTTTATAACTGGCAAAAACTGGAAACAATTCAAATGTTCCTCAAAGACTGAATGAATCAACAGTGGTACAGGCATACAAAGAAATACCATCAGGCAGTACAAAGAAACAAACTGCCAGGCTCCGTGGCTCAGCCTGTAATCCCGCGCCTTTGGGAGGCTGAGGTGAGTGGATTGCCTGAGCCCACGGGTTCGAGACCCGTCCAGGCAGGCGAGACCTCATCTCTACAGTAAATCAAAAAATTAGCCAGATGTGGTAGCGCACACCTGTAATCCGGCTACTCGGAAGGCTGAGGTGGAAGGATCGCCGGAGCCCAGAAGGTTGAGGTTGCGGTGGCCAGGAGGGGCCAGTCTGGGCGACAGAGTGAGACTCCAACTCAAAAAAAAAAAAAAAAAAAGAAACAAACTACTCAGACAAGCAGGATGTGACTGAACCACAAATGCACTAAGCTAAGAGAAACAAGCCTGTTTCAAAAGACTACACATTTATGGGCATTCTGAGAAAAGGCAAAACAACAGCAAGACAGGACAGACGCGCTGGACACAAGGTGGGCAGATGAGGTGATTCCAAAGGAGCCAAAAAGGGAACTCTGAGGAGTCACATTGTTTTTTACTCTCTCCATGGCAGTGGTTATGAGATTCTAGGCTTCATGGGCTAAAACTCATAAAGCTCTACACAAGAAGTGAATTCAACTGTATGTAAGTTTTTAAAAATGTAAGCTGGGCTCGGTGGCTCAGCCTGTAATCCGAACACTTTGGGAGGATGAGGTGAGTGGATTGCCTGAGCCCACAGGTTCGAGACCTGCCTCAGCAACTTGGTGAGACCGCATCTCTACAATAAATCAAAAAACAAATTAGCCGGGCGTGGTAGTGCGCACCTGTAGTTCCAGCTACTTGGAAGGCTGAGGCAGAAGGATCGCCGGAGCCCAGCAGGAAGAGGCTGCGGTGGCCGGGAGCGGCCACTACACTCCAGTCTGGGTGACAGAGTGAGACTCCAACTCAAAAAAATAAATAAATAAATAAAATGTAGTATCAGCTGGGCTTGCTGGCTCAGCCTGTCATCCCAGCACTTTGGGAGGCCAAGGGTTCCTGGGTTCGTGACCAGCCTGGGTTCGTGACCAGCCTGGGTTCGTGAGCCCCTGGGTTCGTGACCAGCCTGGGCAACTTGGTGAGACCTAATCTCTACAATAAATCAAAAATTAGCTGGGCATAGTAGCGCACGTCTGTAGTTCTGGCCACTCAGAAGGCTAAGGTGGAAGGATCACCTGAGCCCAGTGGGTCAAGGCTGGGGTGGCCGTGAGCATGCCACTGTACTCCAGTTTGGGCGATGGAGTGAGACTCCAACTCAAATAAATACATAAATACAAATAAAAATATAGTACCAACACACAGAAATTTTTACTCACAGTTGTGTAAAATCATGCTGTCAATTTTAAAGATCAAATAATATTTCATGATTGACACTTTCAATTACCAAATATCAAAATCAACACTTTAAGACCCAAAGCAAAGGAAACAGAATAGGGAACCGTTTTACCTTTCTTGTGTGGGGGTGCCAATCCTGGCCACAAATTGCCTGATCTAGGAGGGCTTGCTGATAAACGTGGATTAACACCTTCATTTGATGGAAGGATCTGAGATGTAGATAGGTCATTCAAATGGACATCAGTGATATATTCTGTAATATTTAAAATTTGTATTATTAAAAAATAGCAAACTTATTCCACCTGTCCAATGTTAATTAATTTAAAAGTTTCTTAATTTGATATTCAGAACACAATTAACACTAACTAGTGTCAGATGAAATATTAGGTTGACAAATTGCTTGCTAAGCAAAACAGTAATTTTTCCATCTTGGAATCCAATTAATGTTTATAGCATTACTGTTGTAGACAATTCAGTGAGCAGTGGAAATACAAAGTCAAAGAAGATCTTATTTGTCCAAATATAGTATTTAAAAAAAAAAAAAGATATTCAGGACAGTTTTTTAAAAGTTTAAAAACCATGTGGGAGAAAAAGAAATTATTCTCCCAAACTAACATAGTAATCAAAATCAAACAAGAAATGTAGGCATAAGGCAATCATAAGTCATTTTATTCTTACTATAATAAAAGAAACTCCTTCATCAGAAATGGTCCTTTTAAAAAATTAAATTATAGGCCAGGTACGGTGGCTCAAGCCTGTAACCCCAGCACTTTGGGAGGCCAAGGCAAGGACTGCCCGCGCTCAGGGGTTCAAGACCAGCCTGGGCATCTTGGTGAAATCTCGTCTCTATAACAAATCAAAAAACTAGCCAGGCATGGAAGCGCGTGCCTATAGTCCCAGCTACTTGGAAGGCTGAGGTGGAAGGATCGCCTGAACCCAGCAGGTTGAGGGTGCAGTGGCCGTGAGCATGCCACTGACTCCAACTCCAAAAGAAAAAAAAATTAAATTATAAGCTGAGTCAAGAAAATGTAAATCCCAAGAGAGCTATTTTGATTGTTGTTGGATTCCTAGTGCCTAATGTGTATTCCAGGTCAAGATAGCATGCTCAAAAAATATTTGAGTGAGAGAACTGCTCTTAAGAGCTAAGAGAATGTCTTCAGGAATATTTCCAGATAATGCAAAATCATTTTTCACAACAATATTTCTCAATATTTCAACAATAATTGAATCAGAAACCATAATATTGAAGGTAAAAAAAAAAAAAAAGCAAAACAGTGACTTTCTAAACAGAATAAAGTTAATGTGATCTAGGTCAGAGGTTGGCAACTTTTCGCTGTAAAGGGCAAGATAGTAAATATTTTAGATTCTTCATGCCATATGGACTTTGCCAGATTTTTTATCATCAGGCTTTTAAAACATGTACATACCCATACTACTAATTTACGTCATTCCCTGGTTACTGTGTATAAAGAACAAACCTGTTAGAGAGCCATAAAAGACCAGTGAGTCCTTTCACCAGGTTTCAGTTTTTGACAAAAGGGCTGGACTGCAGTCAAGGCTCAGCCTTTCAATACTGGCATCTGACATATTCACTGACTAAGCAACTTCCCAAAAGGTCAGTATAATTAAGGAACCTAACCACCCAGCACATTCCGGCCTAGAAGGCATCCATGCACTGCACACAGGTGAGCCACAAGATTCCTAGTCAAGAAAAGATGCCTCAAGAAGGAATTTCAGATTTGTTCAAACACCTAAATATAGTGACTCCCAAGTTTCAATAATTACAGGAGACAAACTTTTTCATGTTATCTGTCTGCCACTTATTTAAAGAACACACAATTTGAACCTCTGTGTATTAATTTTGTGTGCTTTGGAAAACTAAATACTGCATTAAGACAAGACAAGTTAACTCTTGAAAAGATAAAGGTATGCAAAGCAATTTAACTCAACTCTCTCTCATGTGGCCACATGCTCTCATAGCAGGTTTCATTACAGTTAATTAACCTCCTCAATAAAACACAACCGATGTGACCCACTCACAACAATTTATATCTAGTGGTGAATATAATTAGAAGACTGCAATTTGGGTTATTTTGTTTTCCAGGATTTCAACAGAATTTGCTTAAAATTAGAGGGAAAATTCTGAGGAGTTCAAATTTCTAGATGACTACATAATTATTTAAAAGATTTCTAACGAAATGTTTAGTTCAAGAAGAGGACAAATTTCTTGTATACTTAAGTGACCCATAAAATTCCTCCTACTCTCAGGTTCCAAGACTGTATGACTTTTACACACACATACAGACATTGCTAAACAACATTTCTACTAGTTAGAAATCCCTAAAGTAACAGCTGTTCAAGCACTCACTGTCCACAAATGAAACAGTCATTTTCATGATCAAATTACTAAGTTGTCACCTGCTCTGCTGTGTATCTGCACTTTGACAGTTTCCTGGTTGTTCAAGTCGACCATCTCAGACAAAGAGTCTCGATCTTTATCTAAGTCTCCTTCAGAATTTGCTTTATTGATCTTATTGCACATCTTCTCTTTTTGCCAATCTTTGGACATTTCTGAATTGTTCTCTTCATCCTGAATTAACATTGTTGTTTCATTGTTATCTTCGGAAAAGCCTCTGGAGCCATTTTCATTTTCTGCCTTCTCACTGCTGCTACAAGATTCACAAGACTGGAAATCTACATCTGACGGGTTCTTGTCTTCCTCCATCGTCTCCTCGGTGGTTAGAGTTGGAGGATCTTCCTCGACTTCCATGACCTGCTCTTTCAGTTCTTCATGAAGCAGGTCCATTAAACATCGAAGGAATTCTTGAGCATCCTAATAGATTAGCAACATAACGTTACCACTTCATTACATGAGTACATGGACACTTCAGGGGAAAATACACAAGATACGGTTACCAACTGACTTTACATATGTATAGCACTATGCTAAGAAAATGCCCATTTGTAGAACATAAGGCACTAAAGGGATGGGCCATACTGAGTTCTAAAAAGCTATGTAAATAAAGGTTTTAATAAACTGAAGAAGGTCTAAAGGTCAGCTTCTGCTGTGCGGCTATTCATAAACTGGAGTGATAAGATGGAGAAAACGAGCATCTGCCTCAAGTGACAACTGAAATTCAGAGAATGCCCTAAAAGTTTGGATTACATTAAAGACTTATCCACCCTTGTACCGTATCTCAAAAAAGAAAAATCCCTGAACCAACCTGCAGTACTTACTGAAAACACAAATTCCTGGTCTTAGCTCACAACACCAAATCACAAACTTTGAGAATCCAGAAATTTGCATGGGAGGAAATGAAAAGGGACAGGTAATGGGTTGGGGTAGGAAATGTGTGCAAAGACCAGGTATCAATCTCAGAAGGTTTATTTTTTAAGTTGGGGATCTCACTGTGTGTCGCCAAGGCTGGGGTGCAATAGCATGATCATGACGACCACAGCTCACAGCAGCCTCGACCTCCTAGACTCAGGATATCCCTCCACTTCAGCATCCCGAGTACCTGGGACTACAGCTGTTCACCACCAAGCCCAGCTAAGTTTGTTTATTCTTTTGTTAGAGATGAGGTCTTACTGTGTTGCCCAGGCTCGTCTCAAACTCCTAGGCTCAAGCAACCCACCTGGTTTGGCCTCCCAAAGTTCTGGCATTACAGGCATGAACCACCACACCCAGCTGAAGATATTATAAAAAACTACCATAATCAAAACTGTCATGTGCTATTAATTTAAAAAAAAAAATCCAGTCAATGAAACAGATCAAAAAGCCCAGAAACAGATTCTATCATATATTTATATACACATAAAAAATCAACAAAGAAAATTTTAAATCAGGAAGAGAATTCTTACATGTGTACAGTTTGGTACGATTTCTTAGATGTTTATGAATAAATAAAATAAATTTGAATCCTACCGTAATATAAAATAAATGACAGATGTATCAAATAATGTAAAAAATGAAAACATATAGAAAATATAGGTTAAAATTTCTGCTCTTTGAATGTGAAATTCAAAACTAACAGCACTACACAAAGTATAGTGGTATACTTACCCACCCCCAAATTTAAAAGTTTCTAGGAAAAAAATACATAATAAAACTAAAAGAAAATTGGAAACAAACAATAAACATGATAAAGGGTTACTAGTCTTGGTTAAAAAAAAAAAGAAAGAAAAAAGACACAAGTAGTGATGACCCAAAAAGATACACAGACAAATAAAAAGTATGATGGCATTTTCTGAATTTAAGATTATTAGGGTTATAAATGAAAAGCAATAGACTAACCTGCTGAGAATATCCCCTAAATGTTGGATTTACAGTTTTAATTCCTTGAAACAGATTAGTAGGCACAACAGATCCTGGCCTGAGGCAGAAAACATTTTTAAAGAGAGATTTTTGTGATTTTTAATTTTTATTTTCAAAATTAACAACCAAGAATTCAAAATGATAAATAAATGGAAAACTGTGTCTCAAAAAAATCATTCAAAATTTCCCAGTATCGTGTCTCACAGGCGCATCAAGAAACCCTGTCACTGATACTGTAAATGATATTTATTGCTATCCTCCCCAATTAAATGCTTACACTCCACTGCACAATTTTTCAAAAATGCAATTTCCTAAGTAGTTTTAAAACAAAATTATTAGCATACTACAGCAAACAATCATTTTTCTCAGGCTAAACTTTAGAGCAAATAAACATAAGCAGGAAAACATTCATAAAGGTACTTAGGGTCTGATTTTTTTTTTTTTTTTGAGTTGGAGTCTCACCCTGTCTGTCACCCAGAATGGAGTGCAGCGGCCGCTCCCAGCCACCGCAGCCTCGACATGCTGGGTCTGATTTTAACATCATGAGAACAAATACTCCTGCATTAAACTCAAAAATGTCAGTTACAGCAGCTTCAGCAGTTCTATACTGAACTACCAGTACAAATATTCTTAAACTTCTAGGAAACCTTCATTGAGACGTTGTTTCAAATGTAACATGCCTGAATCCAAACTGAACTGTCTCAAATCTCTCTCTCTCTTCCACTTTTTCAGCTCTATAAATAGTGCTGCATCCTTTTAATATTCACACTATTCATTCAAAATTATAATCAAGACGACAAATATGTGACGTACATACCTGCTTTTATGCCACAGTTCTGTCATTAGTTTCAGGTAACTTTTACAAATGGCTGGTTTCTTATCTGTTCGAGCTAGTCCTCCACAATCAAGAAAAAACTGTGTCAAAGGAGGGCTAATTTTAAAAAGAGAAAAAAGTCTGAGTGAATTCAAGGCTTAATACTGATTAATTTCTAGTCATTCAATGAGCCAGCACACACACTGCTGTATCTCTTATTTCTTTGCTTATTTTCACAGCTTCTTCTTCATTTCTTCATATTTTTTTCTTCACTTTTTTGAGCTTAGAAAATATAGCTTATATAGAAAGTAAATTAGAAAAAGAGAAAGTAAGCTGGGCTCGGTGGCTCAGCCTGTAATCCCGCGCCTTTGGGAGGCTGAGGTGAGTGGATTGCCTGAGCCCGCAGGTCCGAGACCCACCTGGGCAGCGAGACCTCATCTCTACAATAAATCAAAAAATCAGCCGGGCGTGATAGCGCGCGCCTGTAATTCCGGCTACTTGGAAGGCTGAGGTGGAAGGATCACCAGAGCCCAGCAGATCGAGGCTGCAGTGACCGGGAGCGGCCACTGCACTCCAGTCTGGGCAACCGAGTGAGACTTCAACTCAAAAAGAAAAAAAGAAAAAGAGAAAGTAGATTCACCACCCCAAGGTAGGGGAGGGGGCCAAAGCTTAAGAAAACATGGCCTGACCATAGCTCAAAGGGCACATGGCCACACCATAGCTTAGCAAGGCAATGGCCACAACGGTCGTGGCAATGACCTAGCAACGACAACTCCATTTCTTCATATTTGAACAGAGCTCGACCTATTCCAGCCAGATTTGGCCCCATCACATCATGATGATGTCATACCATGGTGCCAGACCTGGCTGACACCTTCCAGTTTCCTCACAACACCATCCAAACAGGTGACAACCCCCTCACTCTTGAACAAGCCTTCTCTGGACTACCATTAATGCGTTTTTCCTTTTTATCTCTCTGGCAGCTCCTTTTCTCTCTTTATTGCTCTTTTTGCTCTTGAACATTTAAATGTAACACTTCCTCAGAACTTGATCCTATGCCTTTTTCTCTTTCCTACACGCGCTCTTCCTGGATGATCTAAAATGTTCACCTAAATGTCAATGGGGGCCAAACTCACATAAAGTCAACCATGTCGGCTGGGCTTGGTGGCTCAGCCTGTCATCCCAGCACTTTGGGAGGCTGAGGCAAGTGGACTGTCTGAGCCCACGAGTTCGAGACCAGCCCGGGCAACTTGGCGAGACCTCGTCTCTACAACAAATCAAAAAATTAACCTGGCGTGGTGGCACGCATCTGTAGTTGCAGCGACTTTGAAGGCTGAAGCTGAAGGATAGCATGAACCCAGGAGGTCGAGGCTGCGGTAGCTGTGAGCATGCCACTGTACTCCAGCCTGGGTGACAGAATAAGACACTGACTCAAAAAAATAAAGTATGCTAGATTATTCAGCCATCCTGTTGTAAAACACTTCAATGCTGTCCTATGACACTGAGAATGAAGAACTAACTCTGCACTGGGCTTACACACTAGGCCCACGTAACTGAATGCCAACATCACACTCAAAGGAAATGTTCGTTGGAGTATTTCAAATTTTGGATTTTTGGATTAGGGATGCTCATCCAGTAAGTATAATGCAAATATTCAAAAATCCAAAACACTTCTGGTCCCAAGTATTCCATATAAGGGATACTCGACCTGTGTATGTTTGGTCTCCAAGAATCACTTTAACATTCAATCCAAAGGAAAGGGCAATGACAAAGTCAGTGATTTCTGAATTCTGGTCCCAACTCAATGCATCTAAACTTAAGAGCAATATCCCCCAGTTTATCTACTTTGTAGGACTGTGCTTAAGAAAAAAATCTGACACCTCATCAAAAAGGGTACCTGCATAATGAACATTTGTATATCTAACCCTGAATTGTACCCCACATCGTTAAAATAAAAAAAGAAAAAATTTGAATGCTTTACTAGAGGCTTTCCACCTGCAGAAAAATATAAGATGCTTTCATAGGATCTCTGAACTAAAAATCTGAAGAATTAATTAGTTCAAGCTCCTTATTTTCTAGATGTAAAAGACAAATAACTTGATCAACAACACACAGCTACCTGGGGTCTACACCAGGACCAGCAGCCTCAGGAAACTATAGGCACACACAGTTAACCCCACAGGGACAGCAGTGGGTTATGTTCCAAGCCAGATTCTTGCCGACTCTACCTTGAGAGTTGGCCAACTACTACAGTAGCAGTTTTCTGCTCAAAAAAGGACTTTAAAAAATTGCGCAGGGGCAACCCCTTTGGGCCCCCTCCCGCTGTGGGAGCTTTTCTGTTCTCAATAAATCCTGCTTTCTCAAAAAAAAAAAAATTGCGCAAACAGAGTACAGTGGTTCATGTCTGTAATCCCAAGCACTTTGGTAGACCAAGGCAGGAGGATCACTTGAGGTCAAGAGTTTAAGACCAGCCTGGACAACACAGTAAAATCCCCGTCTCTAAATACAAAATTTTAAAATAGTTTTTTAAAAATTATACAAACAAAATTAATTTCTCTGCTTACCAATTAGAAAGAGCCTGCAAAGCTGCGTTCATGTAACAAGTATTTCCAATATTTTTCAAACCTGTAAGACCTAGCAAGGAAAAAATACAAGTGAGGTCAACATTCAATGACACAAAATGACTCAATTTTTTGGGTGAGTACTAAAGGCCCCAGACTACATTAAGAATCATGATAACACAAAACAGCAACTCTAACAACTCAGAGAGGTCACACTTTTAGAAACTTACAATTATCAAATTTAATTGTAGATAAATTCAAAGATTAAATAGTTCAACCTTTGAAAACTGCACAGGAAGAACAGCCTTCCCTAGTATATAACTAAGAATAGACATTGTTACAAAGCACTAACTGGTACTTATATTTCTCATTATGTGGTTTAATTCCTATGAGAAAACAGTGTAATGGGAATGCAAAAAGCTCACGCCGTGATAGACATCTTCTCCCTATTTGAATGATCTGCATCGAAAGTCACATTTTATTAGGTTGAACCATAGGAAACTGCCAACAAACAATGTACAAAAATGGCAGTTTCCTGTGGTTCAAGGTAATACAATAAAGCAGCCATTGAAGCAACTGCCATCTCCTAAATGAATTGACTCAGAAACACAAAACCAAACATCACATGTTCTCACTTATATGTGGGAGCCAAATGGTCTCAAAGATGAAAATAATATACACTAGGGACACCAATAAGATTAGGGTTCAGAAACTCCCTAGGGGACATAATGTTCACAATCTGGAGAAGAGCCAGCTGAGATTCAATCCCCACCAACACACAGTAGGTCCATGTAATGATCATGCATGTGTACCCCTGAATCTAAAATTTTTTTAAAAGAAACAACTGTTATCTCTTCCATATATATTCAAGTTCACTTTCATCAGTTTACTCCACTATGAAAAGATGAAGTAACAAATACTTCAAGGAAAATCATAAATGTTATTTGGATTTGGAGCAAAACCAACTTTAAAACTTCTAAGAATCTCTAAAGCATGGCTGAATTAATGCTTGCTGATAAGTATCCAATAAAATTAACAGTGTAAAGCCGGGCTCGGTGGCTCAGCCTGTAATCCCACGCCTTTGGGAGGCTGAGGTGAGTGGATTGCCTGAGCCTGCGGGTTCGAGACCCGCCTGGGCAGGCGAGACCTCATCTCTACACTAAAATTTAAAAATTAGCCAGGCGTGGTAGTGTGTGCCTGTAATTCCGGCTACTTGGAAAGCTGAGGCGGAAGGATCGCCAGAGCCCAGCAGGTCGAGGCTGCGGTGGTCGGGAGCAGTCACTGCACTCCAGTCTGGGTGACAGAGTGAGACTCCAACTCAAAAAAAAAAAAAAAAATTAACAGTGTGGACTACATTAATGGGCTAAAACCCAGAAATATTTTTAAAATATTACTCACGTCTTCTCACATTAAACCTACACCAAAGTGTTAATTTCCAGATAATAACCTAAACACATACTAAACAAACCCTAATGTCAGTTGTATAACAGAACTTTAAAATGTATACTAAGAGCTATGGGCCTAAAAGGATAAGGAAAGTCCCCCTAGGCCAGCTCTCCTGTAGGGGTTGAGCGTAGGGAATGGCTGCAGAAGCAGTGAGGTCCGCACAAAATTAGGGATTCCCTCTCCACATGAGCGCTGCTAAGGGGACACCTTCATACCTCCCCATCAGTCCCCATCACTGACAGGTCATGACAGAAACAGGGGTTGACAACCACTGTTCCAACACTTCAAAAGACAAGTTAAGCAAGAAAAAGATCGTAAGGTCCAATTGCAAAAGAGTAATCTGGATACCAGCATTGACAGGGATACAGAAAAAACAAAAGTTTGCTCGTCATGCAAATGAAATTTTACTGGGCTAAACTTTAGAGTTCTTTTTTTCTAATTATCAAGTCCCTTTTGCCCCCATCTGGAAATTTTCACATTATACGTTTTCCTAAAGAAATGGGCAGTGTCACACAAAGGCTTGTTACATGGGGAGTTATTTTACCTCTTGCCTTAAGCTCATCTTCCTCTTCCACTTCTATGTCCAGATCATTAAAGACAGCAACCAGAGGAGTTTTCAGTGTTGTATTACTAGGTATTTTAAAATCCTTAATAACAAAAGATAGCAAACTTGAGCAAAGCCTTAGGTTAAAAAAACCTTAATTTTAACTGTTAGAACATCTATACCATCAAAACTGTTAACAAATGTTATTTTAATAGCAGAATCCTACAAATTCGTGGCAATAGTAATTACAGCAAAATTTACATTTATATTTTGAGTGAAGTAAGAACCTACACTAGGTAATAGCATGTAATCCTAGCTTTATTGACATATATGAGCCCAGCACTTTAGTAGGAAGAGGCAAGAGGATTACCTGAGCTCAGGGATTCAAGACCACCTGAGCAATATGACAAGACCAATATGACAAAATCTCGTCTCTACAATAAAACAAAAAAATCAACTGGGTATGGTGGCACATGCCTGTGGTTCCAGCTACTTGGAAGGCTGAGATGGAAGAATCACCTGAGCCCAGCAGGTCAAGGCTGCAGTGGCTGTGGGCATGCCACTGCACTCCAACCTGGGCGACGGAGTGAGACTCTGACTCCATAGAGCAGGCTAGAGTGAGTGTCATGCTCACGGCCAACCTAGTGTCGACCCGCTAGGCTCCAGCAATCCTTCCACCTCAGCCTTCCAAGTAGCCGGAATGACAGGCATGCGATACCATGCCTAGCTAATTTTTTAGTTATTGTAGAGACAAGGTCTCGAACCCATAGGCTCAGGCAATCCACTCACCTCGGCCTCCC